TTTTGTGTATGCACACAGAGACTTAATACAATTTCGTCATATTTTATAGTTAAAACGCTCACATTTATTAAATTTTAATGCAATTATCCACTTTTTAATAATTTGCACAAATTTTATGCAAAAAGTACTAATTTTTATGCAATTTTAATGCAACTATTAACTTTTTCACTAATTTTTCCCTATAAAATGTAAACAAACAATTCTACGATTTGCCGATAACTAGCCGATAACGACAAGTGTGCAGATCTCCTTTGAAATGCATGTGCTCGGCTCAAAATTTCAGGGCGAGACGATAACGCAACTATGATCGGACGACAAGTGTGCAGATAGCCTTAATGGCTCATCCTTCTATTCAAGAATGATAGAATACAAGATTGCGCCGATTGCAGCAGAATTCGTGAGAGTAATTTTAGCGTGACGTCATCGTAGAGTTGACAACTGAGAGCGGCGAGAATGAGGGCGACTAGTGATGTGCTGAATTGTCCCCAATACTCGGTACCCAATACTTAAAAAAGATTTCGGTACCCTATACTTCCTTTTCGGTATCCGATACCGATTATTTACATTAAACCCTCGCCATTATATGCATTTCAGGTTTAGAAAAAACTTTCATTACTAATTTATATGATATCGGCTAAAACACTTGAACTTATCGCCACAGAAAAATATTATTTTATCAGTTTTAACCTTAGTCGATCCAAGGTTCAAGAAAAATACTTTGACGGATGAAGAAGCCTTTCAGGGGAGAGATTCTGTAGCCAGTTAGCGACAAGTTTCGGATCGATATCGCACTTGTTGACTTACAAATATTTGATATCAAACGTCGACAAAAACGATACCGATTCGAAAATTGTCGTTAACTGGTTACAGAATCTGTCCCAGGCCTACAAAAATGATATCGTCCGATTCAGCTGGAACAAAAATGCTTCAAACAAGTAAGGGTTTCTCTGTATTATGGCATCGAACCGACATATATACATCTTTCATTTGAATCAGTAAAAAAGCTCTATTGGCTCTTACATTCGGGTTTTGTTAGGCGTTTTTTCCATATTTTTGGCCTATGTGCGCTTTTATTCGAAACCTAAATGTTTCGGTACCGAGTATCGAGAGTATTGGGTACTTAAAAGTATTGACTCAGCACATCACTACTGCTGTCTTCTCTCCTATGACGTCACCAAAACAGCTGATTCTGTCAAAATCACTGAGAGCCGAGTAGCGGTATCGTCATCGGCGCCACCTCTGTATTCTCTCCCCCGTGCCTTCTATTGCTGTTTTTTAGTCGTTGGAGTTATTTATTAATTGACTAGTGCTCGGAAATTTGAAATCTTTATTTTAAATTAAAGTTGAATTCTTTGACTACATTTGTATGTTAAAGTTTTTAAGCTCGGGTCACGCGTTTGGAAACAAATACCCAACATCATTGTACAAATATACCGTACCGTATTTCTTAAACTTTCATAAAGTTTATTAATGAGGAAAACAGCTTTTCGTGCAAATCATGTAAAGCCCGTGAAGCATCGGGAACGCAACTTCTATTTATAAAACTCACATATGTACATACACTTCAGCTTCCAATTCCAAGGGATCCGATGAATCTCGCAATTCTCTCCTTGCTTTAGCCAACTTTACTAATCTATTAGCTTCTCCATCATCTTCCTCATCACTAAACCATATTTCAACTGTGTCCATTTTTTTAAATTTTATAATAAAAGCAATTATTTTAAATATGATGTAAATAAAACACTTAAGAAACAAATGTAAACAAACAAACACCTGTTTACAATTCAGTCAACCATTCACAATAGTAGAAATTTTTATCGATCAAGTTACACAATAGCAAAATAAAAGATGAACGACTCGATCGACAAATTTCTATTCTACTGCCAGTCGACACTCCCAATAGGGGCCTAAATCTAAAACAAATAACCGCTTAATGTGAGAAAAAAATTAACAAGGGAGGTGACAATAAGTAACAAACTGAAATAAAACTATAAAATTTTGAGTTTATTTTTACAATATTTCCATGATGCTGTGGGTTTGTGTGTGAGAGCTGTGGGTTTTGTCACTTACTTGATTAAAGCGCTGTTCTGTAGCAATAAAAATGCCAACCTCTAATGCGGTCCTCATCTGCATATTCCCTGCATTCAGGTTTTAGGTGAATAACAATTTTGGTACCATGGGCCACGCCATCCGCCTCTTGAATTTCATATGAACCAGATCCATCAGATGCCCACCTCAATCCCTGTGAATTAACCTTCGAAGAGCGCGTAAATTCTTCTACTTTGTCAGCAACCATACAAGCAGAATAGAATCCAACACCGAATTGCCCAATAATATTCGATGAATACCAACACCTTTTTCGTTCCCTTGCTGTAGAAACTTTTTGGAGTCACTTCGGGCTATCATACCCAAATTGTGTATAAGCTCTTCCCGTGTCATGCCTATACCGGTATCCTGGCATATGTAGTTTTGTCAAAACTTTCAATTATTTATTCACAAATCCTATCGATGTAGTCAGGTTTATTGTCCGGATTACCAATTAACTCGGGATTGCATCAAAATTCCGTCGTATTGGCGAGTTCGCAGCAATCTGTTGATCCGATGCAGATTAACGTTTTCTCTTCTTTGTTTGGTACCAGTTGTTTCGCAATGTGGTTGCAGGCTTTTTGTCGGCAAATGTATTTCTTCAGCTTCAGCCGAGCCGCCTTTCTTTACGAGAAAATTTTTGGTTTTTGCTCCAGTATTTCAAGTTCAAATTTACAGTATTCTTTATAATTTGACTAATTCGCAGACAATTCTGATTTTGTGGTGAAATCTTTGGTATATTTATGTAGTTTTATTTTGCGAGAATAGAAACCAGAAAGGTGTTGATAGTATGAATTTTTGATTTTCACAGGAACATTGTTCTGGATGCCAGCCAACGTTTCATCAGAAAGGTAGCTAAGTGTATTATATACCGAGGATTACCAATTGACTCAGGATTACATCAAAATTCTGTCATTATATAATAAATCAGGGTTAGTGTCAGGATTACCAATTAACTCAGGATTGCATCAAAATTCCAAATCAAATCAAAAATCAGGTTTATTGTCAGGATTACCAATTAACTCAGGATTGCATCAAAATTCCAAATCAAATCAAAAATCAAGATTCGCAGCCAGAAATTTATTCTCGTTTTCCACAAAAAAATACGACCGGTACGAACTATCGTACAGTTTGAGGTTTTTTCGCAGCGTATTATACTCCTGGTCTATTGTATATTTTGGTTTTTTCTTTCAGACCATTAGCCTAATTTGCGATTCATAGTTCAAATGTTTGCAAGCAAAATAAGAAGTGGAAATTTATGTAGATAAACAATTAAATAATAATAATTGATAAATTTACTTGATTTTGAATTTTGAGTGCTTTATCTAGTGAGTGAGTGCTTTATCTATAATATGAGTTATTATTAGTAACTCGCTTTCAAAAGTAAATAAAATTTGCTGTTGGTTATTCGATATTTCCTTAATAAATAATTTGCACGCTTCACCGAAATGGAAGCGAACAATAATTCAAGTTTACTATAATAATAATCAAAATTAAAGAAAACCAGAATATTTTCACTTCCGACTCATCAGCCCTGTTCTGCAATCCGATTCAAATCGGAATCGGATTTGTTTCCGATTGTTGGTGTTCTGCATTCCGGCAATCGGAAATTATTTCCGATTCCGCCTTGTTCTACATTTCGATCCACTTCGAATCGGAATTCTATCGGAAATTTGATGTTCTGCATTTCGATTATCGGAAATATTCCGATCAAATGTTGGCTAAGAAAAATAAGAAATGGAAATTTATGTACAATCGAAAGCAGCCGGCACCTTAAGCACAATCGATTGATTTTCGGCAATATTTTGGCGTATTTCAGCCGCGAATTTTAAATTTAAGAGTTATATTTAAATACAGAAGTGGAAATTTATGTAGTGTCTTAATTCCTTGCAGATTAACTCGCGTGATAACAGCGAGACAGTGCCGCAGCAGAAATAGTAAGCCTTTCCGCCGCAAATTTAAAATTTAAGAATATATCTAGCGTTAGGTAAGAAAAATTTACTTAACTCATTGGTAATATATTAACAATTTTTTTTATTCTTAATTCCCTGCAGATTAACTCGCGTGACAACAGCGAAGCAGCATAAGCCTTTCCGCTGCGAATTTAGAATTTAAGGATTTAGGTAAGCATAGTAGTTAGTAGTAGAACTCATCTGAAATTTATGTATGTACTGCCAACCAGTCACTTTTTAATCTAATAAATTAAACTATAATTTTTTATTCTTAATTGCAACAAAGATATTAAATTAAAGAGGTTTGAGAAAGGTAACTGGTGGAAATATTTTTGAGAATTGCCACCGACCATGATCAACAGCTTGTCCACAGCACGGAGCGGAAACTAAGGCTTTCCGCCTGCCACACATTCAAAGTAATGATTTCGGGAACATGGATCGGAAACCCGGCCTTACCGACCTTGATCAACAGCCTGTCCGCAGCGCGGAGCGGAAACTAGGTCTTTCCGCCCGCCGCACACAAAAGTAGACTGAAGACTAGGCCTCGCCAGCCACCAAACCTGCTATTTTATGCTGTTATTATTATTATTATTATTCTTATTATTATTATAAATTACTATGTATATATATATATACTGGACCGAAAATGAGGTAAAAAAATAAAGCAAAACTGAAAGATCTTTTTCTCAGAACAAAATTTGTGTTTGAAGTGCAGATGTAAAACCTATTTGAGAAAATGGACCTAAGTCAAGTAATTAGAAAACTTCGTTTACAATTTTTGCAACAGCACTAAAACATATTAGGGGTATTCTCTGAGTCTTGCAAAGCCCTTGCACGGTGCACAGATTGCACGGATTGCACGGAAAAAACCGGTTTTCGTATGGGACAGCTTTGCAAACCGTGCAATCCGTGCACCTTGCAAGGGCTTTGCAAGACTCAGAGAATACCCCTATTGTACTTTGGCGTTATGTGTACAGTGGCCATTCGTACCGATTTTGGCGGGACAGTGCCGATTTTGAGAAAATTGTCCCGTCATGCGACCGTCATTGCTAATAAATTAACTTAAAATTGTTTATTCTTGGTTCGAAACAGCGTTCGTGAAAACCGCGATAAAGTAAAGCAACAGAAATTGAGGCCATGAGTCGGAAAAGGCCACTTGACGAAAAAGAAAGTAATAAAACAACCTGTACCGTAGTAAAAAAAGCTCTACGATTATCATGTAAAAATTTCCATGTATATGATCAAATACAAAAGGATGTGGAGGAGATGTCGTCTCTATTCATCGAGCTATCAAGATACATTCACTTTACCTTGATGAAACGTTGGGAACAACAAAACTTTGAACCCATAAATTTTCTGGACTGTTATTACCATCTAATGGTAAAGAAAAAACCAAAATATACAATAGACCAGGAGTATAATATGCTGCGCAAAAACCTCAAGTTGTACGATAGTTCGTATCGGCCGAATTTATTTGTGGAAAACGCGAATAAATTCCTAACAATATTCCACAACAATATTTGGATGCACGGTTGTACTCGGCTCAGAAAATATTTCAAATTTGAAGAAGACAAAAAAAAGGTATATAATACACTGAGCTACCTATTCGATAAAAATTCCAAAAATAGCCCAGATGAAGCGGTACTTGAACGTATGCGTACCGATTTAAAATGGAACGGGAAAAAGCTACACGAAATAGAGAATGTCAAACTATTTTGGTCGTCCATAGAATTATTTTATAACCTGCAACGGTATAATGAAATCAAAGAAATACAAAATTTTTCATTGATACCACAACTAAAACACGGTTTACATCACGTCAGATACGATCGATTTGCGTTCCATCAACTATTGTGTCGATTAAAATTATTCAAAGGACCATTTTCTTCCTTCGATAAAAGTGAATTTGGAAAGTATTTTAAAATTCCTTCAACGTGCACTAAAACGTTTTCATCCTTACAAACTGATGGCATCTCCATTTCATTTTGTATGGAAAAGCAAATAAAAATACAAAACGAAACTAAGCTAGTGAAAAAGAGAAAACTTAAAGAAAAAGAAACGGATCGTACAGGAGATATACCCCACTATTCTAACAGAGTCACAAAACTTAGCTCATCACTGTTGTGATTTCCAGTGCGCCGAGAAATGTGTCACAAAAAATTCGATTTTGAGTGCTAGAAAAATACACAAAAATTTAAAAAATTGAATTGAAGCGTCATATTTTTTGAGCGGCAAGCTTTGAGGCGCGGTAGAAATCACAGCAGTAATGAGCTAAAGTTTGTGACTTTGTTAGAATACGGCTGTTAATAAAAATACGTGCAACAAAATATGAAAATAAAATTGGCCTAGATCCTGGGTGTCGGCTAATTTTAGCTGGCATCCAGAACAATGTTCCTGTGAAAATTAAAAATTCGTACTATCAACACCTTTCTGGTTTCTATTCTCGCAAAATAAAACTAAATAAATATACGAAAGATTTCACCACAAATTCAGAATTGTCTGCGAATTCGTCAAATTTTAAAGAATATTGTAAATTTGAACTTGAAATACTGGAGCAAAAACAAAAAATAGCCTCGCAAAGAAAGGTGGCTCGGCTGAAGCTGAAGAAATACATTTGCCGACAAAAAGCCTGCAACCAAATTGCGCAACAACTGGTACCAAACAAAGAAGAGAAAACTTTAATCTGCACCGGATCAACAGAGATTGCTTCAAACTCACCAATGCGCGGATATAGGCGAGTACCTAATCGCCTACTAATCGCAGCTTTAAGTCAACGAACAGCAGACATTCTAATGGTTAACGAATTCAGAACAACCAAACTTTGCGCAAAATGTTACAACGTAAACCTGACGTCCAAATCGCCACACAGGTACCAGTTTTGTCCAAACTGCCGTACTTGCTGGAATCACGACGTCAATGCTGGGAAAAACATTCTCTACCTGGGAGAGTGTATTATTAACCAAGAACAATGAGAATTTTCACAAATAAGATGTCATTATTTCATTTATGGCGAAAAATATGTACATCTGACTGGCAACAGTTTAACTTATGTTACTATAAACAATTGTAAGTTTATAAAAAAGTTGTAATACACCCCTCCCTAGCCTCGAAAATATCAGAAAAAAGCACGAACCACACCCACTTCTTAGTTTTTTTTAGCTTGACGGGTCGTATTCTGCACTTATGCATTTTTTAACACCTCCGAATGGATTTCTGCCTTAAAAAAGGCATCTCATAAAGTCTATTTGCTGTTCGGAGGCGTCGTAAGACTGTAGGTCCCTCCATTTGTGTGACAAGATCACGACGCAGCACCAAAATATTATTATTATTATATAAGTAAATTTCGTCAATAAAACCAGTGTTTATTTTTTAGATTTATATATGTATTTATTGATATTGATAGTTTCAATTAAACTTCGTAATAAACTTACAATTATGGTTGTGTATTCAAAGAAATATGAAACATTAAATTATAAAGGTCAACTAAGATTTGGCTCACACGCTCAAACTTTAATCTTACTTTGGAGGGATGTTTTCCTTTCCATTCATACTGATTCCTAGCTCCAATTTACATATGTATGTACGCATTTTCTTTCTACAACATCTGTCTGTTTTCTTAGATTTTCTTTTTTTCTAATTTTTCATATGTATAAGTATATGTATAAGTAATACACCTTTTTGTGGATTATAAACAGTAATAAACTTGTTGGCCGGAAGGACCTTTGTGTTCAAAGACTTAGATTTCGTAATTCATTAACAATTATTGCCGGGAAAAGAAAATATCTTACTACATAGTACATACCTACATATGTACCCTGATATTAAAGCTGCTAATTTTTGGAATTGATTTCAACAAACCGCTTTATACTGCTATACACTGAATTGCTACATGTATGTAGGTGAAACACAAAATCGCTTAATTACATGTAAATAAATTAAGAAGCCTGAACCGCTATAAATTAATTGCAATAACCCTTTTCTAGATCTTGCCGAACAGCAAGAGACCTTATCCAACTTAACCGCAACAGTAATGAATGAATCGATTTGCATCGCTTTTTTTCCTTATCATTTTCAAAATATTTAGTATAAATGTTTTCGTTTGGCTTGTGATATTATTGCGTGTCAGTAAGGAATGAACTACGGTGCATTGTTTAAAGCTCAAAGGAGGAATTAAGCACCGGATCTTGTGGGGAAATCTTAATTTTTTTAATAATTACATTGATTAGTTTTCTTTTAAGAAGCTTAAAGGAACAATAATTAATTTCAGTTATAATCATCTTCAAACTATTAAGCTCCATTTTTATTTAAAATTTCAACGTACCATTGACGTGGCCTGCGACAGCGACGAATTAAAAAAGGCAAGTTGGATTTTGACGGCATGTGATGCAGGCGCTATTATTCACCAACCCGCAATTTGTATTCCCCTCATTGCCACACATTACCGATATTTAAGTTGCTGAATTGTTGGTTCAGACCATGTGTATTAGTAGAGGCGCCTGCTGCAGCTGCAGGTGCCGCTTGAAATGTTGCTGACATTGGCACACTCGCCATGGGTATGCTCATTCCCATCGGCGGCTGCTGCACCATGGCTGCCGACGTGGCACCTACGCCCATCATAGGCATGCCACTTAACAGATTCTGATTGGTTTGCATAAGATTAATTTGGCCCGCTAGTTGTCCGCTGTTAATCATCATATTCCCAAGACCCGCCAGGTGTTGTTGTGTGTAGATGCCGGTACTGGCCGAGCCAGGGAATTGGGCATTAAAGCCGCCTGTAGCGCCCGCACCACCCATATGCATGCCTGGTGTGGTGAACGCAGTGGGCGCGGTCATGACGGGTGCATTATACATGCTTGTGGAATTCGGCGGTGTCATGAATTGAGGTTGCTGGGGATGTGGTACGCCACCTGCGCCCATATAACCGGGAACCATGCCGCCTGAGTAAGCGCCAGTGGCAACGAACATTGACTGTGGTTGGCCAAAAGGCATTTGGCCACCATGTGGATTGTGTGAATTTCCTGTGCTGCTTGGTGCGGTACCGTACAATGCCAATATACTATCCTTTGTCAGCTTCCCTGACTTATCTTTTTCAGAGCCAGTTAGCGAACCTTGATTAAAAAAATCTTCTTCGTCTTTAGCCAGTGAGTTTTGCGTGGTATTTTGTCCATTAGATTCCCCAGCTTTATTGTGTTCCCCAGGTTGCATAACAACTGAAGGAGTCGCACTAAGAAAACCAGTGAAGCTGTCATTTTGCAAATCCTGGGCTGCGCCACCACCCACATTATGCTGCAATGGCTTTGTAGGTGAAGAGAGACCGAGCAAATCGCTGCTGTGATTGCCTTCGCCGCCTGTCGAATTCGTAGAAATGCGCTGTGTTTTAGGGCTACAACTACTGCCAACTTGTCCTGCCTTGGGTTTCGGCAACGGCGCTGGCAGTGCCGCTGATTTCGAACCTGACAATGATGTGGTGCTTTTCTTATCACCCCCGGTGCCCACGCCACTCATCACACTAAGCCCCATTGAAGTGCACGCTTGGGCTGCTTTTTTCTTGCGTTTTTGCCGCTCTAACTCTTCGTCAATTTCTTTGGCCCAATCTACTTTTGGTGGTGACGGCGGCACCCATTCTCGCGCCAAATACCTTTTGTGCTCATATTTAGCACGTATGAATGACTCTAATGCGGTATCGGTCTGGGGACGGCGGAAACCATCTGGTAACTGTGCTTCATAAACGGCACGCGCACGAGAATTGCCCATCTGTTGCAATGAGATCACCTGTTCTGGCGTCCAGGTGTCTAAATTGACCGATTTAACTCGCGATATGTGTACGCCAAGATTACGATGAATGCCTGCGCAACGTATGCATAAGAAAACGCCAAGATTCCAAGACGCCCAACGCGGTCCTGTAATATAAAAGAAGCATTAACCGGCGAAAATAACTTACTTCATATATTCAATATATCCACGATTAGTTGTTTCCTTTGTACGATAAAAAATAAACACAAGTTGCTTATCAGTATAACACAGCTCTTAGCAACAACAGTTGCATGCGTTGTCAGCGAAGCACTTTTATCAGAGTCGTCGATGCTAAACCAAGTTTATATTTTCTGCCTCTCGTCGTGCTAACTTGTGATCTTCACTTACATATTTTAAACTGGTATTTGTCAGTGACTCATGATAAGATTTACAAATAAAAACAACTCTTAAAGTAAAATAATAATTTTTTATAGAAAAATTAACACGGATTCTAAATTCAAATAATTAAGTGGGAAGAAAGGTTTTCAAAGAAAATCTTTCCGTTAGTTGCCGATAAACATTGTTTGCCGTATATTGATTTTTAACAAATTTTCCCATTGAAACTAAGTAATTAAATAGTCATAGAAAGGTTATGAAGCCAAACAGAAACAGTGCAGCGCTTACTTTTACTATCACTATACTATGATAACAAATGAACGGAAAAAATAAATCAAATATGAACGAAGCCCGTGGATAGGTTGTACATATCTTACAAGCACTCATCCAGCAGTGCAGTAAATATAAATGACAGTCGCAAATGATATGCCAAAAGTGGCGTAAGGGGCTTAAACACTGCGTTTATGCAATGAGCATTCATACCAGCGCTGAATTATTCAATCACAACGCTAATTCTATCTAAATTTGGTGGTCACGTACAGAGGTGTCCAATAATTTTCGATTTCTTTAGACAATACATTTTAGTGTTGGTTGCCTTTAATGGCAACATATTGTAGCCTATGTTTTATAAGCAATGCTGTTAGTACTTACTAGACAATGAGAAGATCCCTATTCGAATGCCATTCCGTTGAATATATTTAAAAGGCACTTTTTAGATTTGAAGGTATAATGAATTCCCTATCATTTTGTGTCCAGGTGGAACATGCTTTACCCCCGCTTGCGTTTAAGGCAAATTCCCTAAGGGAGCTCACGAAACTGGTGGTTTGGTGGCTTGCGTGTTAGTTGTCTTATTTAACCTTAGCCTTATTCCAATTTCTTCGTTACCTTTTGCATCACAATCAACGCAGTATTTATTGTCCTCATCGCGAAGCATCTGAGTCAGCAGAGTTTGGCATTTTTCCTGTATTAATTTGGTCCTTTCATTTTCTTTGCGGCTCGCAGTTGAACTCATTTTTCCTCTTCTCTACTATACACACACTTGAAAAGATCTTGCTGCTGTTTGTATACGGTTGCAAAAATTTTCGATATTTTCGCTTATACTAAACTTTATACTTTAATTTGCACTACCAAGCTTGTTGCATTTGTTAAGCAATTGGAAAATATTCAAAAAAATGGCAATTTTGAGTAAATTTTGAAAAAGCTGCTGCTGAAATTACTCTGGTGCCAATCAAAAAATAAAAAAGATTCACCACTGACATGACCAAGGCGAATTAATAAATTCGCCTTGGTCATGACCGAATGAAAAACGTCGAATGGCGGCGAAAACAAGCGAAAAGTTGGTTGTCAAAATATTACGGCGAATTAATTAACGTCAAAAACCCTAGATTGTGAATCGTCATAAAAGGAAGAAGCAGACGAACTCAATTTAAAAAAATTAAACGGCGCTCTGTGGAAAAGTGTGCACGCTAGGAAAATTTTGTTTTTCAAATAAAGAATAATATGGCAGCTGTTGGACTACAAATGCTGAAAAACCAACTTTCGAGGAGCCGAAAAGTAATATCCAAAGGATATTGTGGAGCGGAATGCGGCATAGATTGGTTAAATGTAAGACGATCTTGCTATTGTTTTGATTCGGTCATTTTATGTATAATTGTTAACTTATGTATAATTGATGGTTTTAGAATTTCTGTGGCGATTTTTATGAGTTTGCTTCTGGTCTGCACAAGTTTATAGCCAGCGAAGTTGAGGAAGAACTCGATGATAATGAAAATCTGGATACTGTTTTTCTTTGTTTGGCACAAGTGTGCTTGTGTACAAAGTATTTGGAACGTGTAATACGCGCCGAAGAAACAGCTGGAAGAGCAATTACGGTAAGAATGAAATAAATTCGAAACTTTAAATCATGCGAAAATATCAATAATTTTATTCCATACAGTCCTCCCGGAGACACTTTGTAGATCGAATATTATGGTGTATGGATAGACTAGAGATTGCTGCTGGTAATATGTCAGTCCTTGGTCATGATAAAACATCAGAACAGGCGATGTCGGGGTATGGTTTTATGGTACTGTTGGAAATAGCAAAAGACCTTGTGGCTGGCTTCAACACGTACAAGGAGAATCCAGATATCGATATTGAATATGTAAGTGTAAGAACAAACAACTATCTTGTACCATGTACAATTTTGTAATAAACAATTTTTTTGAAGGCAATTGAATGCAGCAATGAAATACATCGTGCCGTGCGTTTTATGGTAGGCCATGCACTTGCTCTGGCTAACGTAGCACTATTCGAGGATAAAACAGCACTAAGTGCCTTATGCCAAAAGGTATTTCTTCTCATTTACACTTCGATTTCTAAAGTAGGTGCTTGACTCACGATTTTTTTTTTATTTATGTTAATAAGGTGCTGCGTGATAGCAAAGCTTTTGTAGAAGAATGTTCCATGAACTTTCAGCTAGCTCAGACGAACGAATGGAATCGTAGATTGAAAGCTATTGCACTGGGAGATTCGTTGAATCAATTGCATCAATACGTTGATGACACTATTTTGCGACTGATTTTCATATGCTTCACCGATTTAGAAAAATTTTCGTTAGACAAGCTTCGTGCTAAAATGCGACAATGTGGTAGTGATGATGCTGAGCTAGACGAGTTTATAGCAGATTTTGACGTAAACTTGGACCGCTTGGCTCAAATAGGACTTTTTGCCGCCAATGAATCGCATTGTCCGAAATGTAATGTGTATTAACTGCAATATTTTGCAATTATGAATGTTTTTAAAAACAATCTGTTTTAATTGAATTTTTTAATTTAATAAAAACAATATATTTTCATTATAATTTGTATTTCAGTAAAGACGTTGGTGCTTAGTTGCATGGCCTCATTAGAGGCACTTGACTCATGCATTATACCGTCATTGCAAACAAGAAACGGCGCAGATATGCATTCTGAAATTATGGAGCAACATTTCTACGAGGAGATAACGAAATTGAAATCTGTTATATGTGAAATTGTGGATATTAAACCCATCTCCAGATGCTTTCATGAAATGCTCAACAATTGCATTATTCAAACCGAAAAAGAGTTCAACAAGTCCAAGCTGGACGATATGGTGCAAATGGGTGAATTTCTCTTGCAATATTTTCAGCATCCTACAAACAAAAAAGACCTCCAACAAACGAATTGTAAGCGATTGGAGTACTTTCAAAAGCTGACCTTAATGTTACATGAATGTCGTGCAATTATGGTATGTGCAAATCAGGTGGAGAATTCGCGTATACTGAAACGCTTTAAGATTTTGCGTGCAGTCATGCGCAAGTTCGTAGATGCAATCGATAAGACGCAACAGGAGCTCAGCAAGAAACTCGAAACGAACATAATTTTGCCTACACTGCCGATAGCTGAAACGCATACACTAGATTTGTATGAATCACAACTTTTGCTGCAGGCCATTGAACCTAGCGTTTGTAGTATTTTGTATCGCAATGAAAGCGAAATATTCACTCCGCGTAGGCGTGCTGTGAGTGAATCGATGCGTTGCAACTATTCGAAGTGCCCGCTAACGGCACTGCAAGTTACGCAGGCTGTGGCAAAAGGGGATTTGCTTTCAAAGTCCGGCATTGACTGGCAGCAGATAAGACAGAGTCGTTGTGGTAACAGTGTGCGCAGAAGTGAGTGCTTTTTATGAGCCTATTTAATTTAAATATATACTATTCTTTAATATTTTTTTGCAGAGGAGAGTTTGCGCACGGTGATGTTTAAGCGGCAAAAAGTTCGCGATTTTTATTTGCAAAATTCAGCTAGCTTACAAATTACCGGTAAGTGATACGGCAAATCGATGCAATTGTTAATAGTTAAAGTTTTGTTTCATGACTACAGAAATTCTTGATCAGCTAACACAGATATCTGAAAATGGTTTGTCCTCAGAGAACGAGCAGCTGCTGAACTTATCACGTATTGAATAACTCTCTTCGAAGAAGTTTATCGATTTTATCATGGTTTTTACTTCCAAAGGTAGCTAAAATATTTTATTGAAAAAAATATTTAAACTACATATAACTAGTTTATGCAGTAATAGTTTTTTTTTTTAACTCGGTAAAGCTTATTATCATAAATACTTTAATTAGCAATATTTTTTGTATTGTGATCTTTACTTAAAATACGTATTATACAATCCTTGATTTTAACGAAATTTAATTTTTTATATAACGCGAAGTTATAAAACTGTAAGCTCCTATGAACTCTACCTTCAGTATTTTATTAATACATATGTATGTATATCCGGCCGATAGTTCATAATATTAAAAATAATATTTACAAAAAATAAAATAGTTATATTTTAAATTATGATGTACATAAACGCTATTAGCTTCCCGCCACATTTATGCCCTTACCCATTTGTTGATTAATTAAAATATATTTTATTATTTAAGAAAAACCACTTACTTAAAAAAGCGGAATGTTAAGCAAAAAGCCCAATACATTCATACATACATATTTGCAGCTTTGGGTTGATAATATATAAATAATAATGGCGAATTATTGAATTGCTTACTCAATCGCAGTTTTATCATTCGGCACTTATGTGCTTCGCCGTGACATCTTTTTAACCGAATTTGTTTTTTATGTATGTTACCGCATAACTTTGGACCACGTCAACCGATTTCGATAACTCTTTTTCGCATCGGAATTGTAGTGTCTCAGGGGTGGTCCCATACTAATCTGGTTTAGATCCGATCATTGGATCGTGAAATATATATATATATATATATTTATATGAGAATTGAAGTCAGTTTTGTTCTTTTGCTAAAAATTACTTGTTAGTTTGTAGTTTTTCCGTTTGACTTTTCCGTTGCGGTTGTAACTCATAGAGCGCCAAACCGAACTCCCGCGTGAATGATAATAATCTGTCACTCAGATAGCTGTAGTTTAACTTTGAATCTGAATCTTTTGAAGTATCATGCCAAACATTCAAGCGTGGCAACGCTTCCGTGGACAAATGTGGGTAGAATATACGAACCAGGTGGTGGCGCATATACGAACTTGCACTTTCCGCCTTCAATTCCGTGGTCAAGTCGTCAATAAGCGCGGCAGGCAACGCTAAAAAAAGCCGATATTTCTGTTGCTTTGTTGTATATTTCATTTCACAATGTGAAAGTATCAACTTAATTTTGCCCATTAACTGAGGCCATTTAAGCCCACCATATTCGTATATGTAGAAATCCTTATGCCGCCGATAGCGCTGCCCCGTTTCTCGATTGGTATGCAGCACTTGTGAACTGGGAACATTAATAAAGGTCAGTGGTATATTGTAGATGTGCGTGGTGATGAGATGTATATGCTGGGCGGGTGATTTTGTTTGCATGATGGCCTCAAAGTGCTGGGTTAGTGGATACACACCTGCTTGATGGATAAATCCAAAGAAGACGGCGAGCCCAATGTTACACATGTACCAGGTTTTCATCAGCGGTTTGGCGGAAGCCCGTGTTGATAGCACCGAATCATATATTTTGCGCAACAACGGATGTTCCTTTTTGAATGGGTAGGTTGGACATAGTCCATGATACAACTTGGGCGCATGTAGTAAGACGATAGGGAAAAGCAGCGGCAGCAGAAAACGTGCTTCTTGGTGATTTATAAGCGATAAAAATAAGAGTGGCACAAATATAGCGCTGGACATTAAACTAATAATGCTCTGTGCGCGCGGCAATCCTTGATATTCGGCCCGGAAGAAACGAATTAAGAGGTGTGCAAACGTTACAAGCGTCACAACACCAAGCACATTGTACAGCAATGGGATGTTGACCAAAATATGCAAGTATTTCGGATGTAGCCCATGATCTGCAGTATTTTTTGAGTCCAAATTGTACTTGATAAAATTCCAAGGTGTGCTCACAAAGTTATTTATACCCAACCGCAGCATTTGCAGCTCACCAACGGTCAAATATTTGTAATAAAATGAATCGCAAACTATGAAAAAGGAAAGAGCCGGTAAGGCGCTCATACAAAATACCAGCATACGCAGATTGAAGTCACGGAATGTAATGGTTTTCGTACCCATACCACGCAGCATCCAATAAAATACCGTTGGCGCACCATAAAGCAGGAATGTGGGCCTGTTAAAAACACCAGCCACGCAAATGCTGGACACGAGTAAAGTGTGAGTGTAGTTATGCGCTGGCAATGCTTTGGATAGCCGCCACATTTTAACGCGTTCGCTTATAGATTTGGCCTTCTCATAACGCTCTTCCAGAACCTCTTTCTTATACACAATCGTATTCGTTTTGATCATGCATTCGGCAACAAGCGCCAGTAGTAGAGAGCATAATGCTAATTCAAGAGTATTGGAAAATGTGCGTGTACCAAAGATTAATATTACCCAAGAGCTGCCTAGAGCTAGGAGTCTTATTTCGTAGTGCAGACTATACAAGCGACATATCCGATACATGCTCCAGTCGTTAACAAACGACAGCACACACATTATAAGCCGCGGAAATACCAGGTATGTATAGCTTTGCAGTAGTTCTATGCCAAAGTAACGGCGGAAATACAAAGCAAACACCTCTAGAAAGCTCCAAGGAACGCGTAGCAGAAGGAATTGCAGTGTAATGCTGCGCACAGGCATTGTGTTGTTAAATTCCCATGTGCGGACATGCTCCAACTGAAAATGATCACCTAGTAGATACAAATATGCAATAAAAACAACGAAACTCTTTCATTGGGCTTAATGGCCTACCTGTCATCACTTCCACGGACTGAAAAAACTCATCAGGATGTATATAGCCCTTCTGCGGTATAAAAACTAGCACAACTCGGAGCGCGGCAAAAAACAAATATGTGTACCAACATTCATCGGTGGTGCTATGCCGTAGCCACAATTGATGAATGTAACGAGTTAATTTCATGTCCTTTAATTAAAATATACCCTGTTTTAATTACGAATTTGTTCATGGATGTTGGTTTCTTTTGTTTTGGAATACGATGGAAACAAAAGGGTGAAAAAACAGCCGGTCGAACCCCCCCTGAAAATTAGTCCGTTCGATAACTTGAAAATTAGTAATAAAAATCAAAAATTAGGCTTATTCCACACAGAGAGCGTCCTTCATGGTAGAAAAATGGAAATAAAGAGCGAAAATAGGTGCATTCAATAACTTTTCTAGTAAGTACTCGCAGCGAGAGAAAATTTTCAGAAAAAGCTATTGAAAGGCAAACTAGTAAAAACAAGGTGTATTAAACAAGGTGGTGTTGGGGCGACAGCTGACTTTTTCGCCGTGGAGGCCACTACGTCAAAATGATGTGTTTGTTGTAACTCATACCAATGACAGTATGGACATCAGCGTATAATTTGTTAGGCCGGTGTTATGCAGAAATTTTGTTTGGCAAACTGCGTGTGTTGCGAAACTTTAGCGACAGTTCTCGAGGAAATAAAAATTGAATATGCGAATTTCTATTAGCGGACGCTTTTAAACTTTTTCTTTATTCGTTCCTCTTAAAAACTTAGCTGCTTACAAAGTTGTTCTTCTATTTATACTGTATACGTATGGCGTGATTTTACCGCTAGACATGTACGTACATAAACATTTTAGATATATAGTACACATATGTACCTAAGCACATATGTAGGTAAGGATACGTTCATGTCTATTTAAACGCTAAGTACATAAATGAATCGAACAGAAATAAGCAAATACATATGAATTTAAAGAACATAAAACCTTTACTGCTCGGCTGAGCTTAATGTCGGTGACATCCCCTCGCCCGTAAACAAGCTCGACTCCGTCTGTTTACTCCGTATAGCACCGACATCTAGGACTGCTATTTTTGCCACAGGTCGATGTAGTATACCGGATGTAGTTTTGACAGTTGCGCTTCGAATTTGACCATCTTTAGCTCTAACAACGTCGACAATTCTGCCTTTTGGCCAACAGTTTCTGGGAAGGTTCTGATCCACAATTACCACTATGTCGTCTATTCGTACCGGAGGTCGTTTTTCGAACCATTTGCTGCGTCGGGAAATGATTGGAACATATTCCTTTATCCACCTTTGCCAAAATTGGTCTGCAAATTTCTGAGTTTGGCGCAAACGTTCACGCAAGCTGGTATCTTCGTTGCAAATAGGTTTGTATCCACTTGATGATCCAATCAACAGATGGTTTGGGGTGAGCGCTTCGTCGTCCTCTCCTTCCAGCGAAACAAACGTAAGCGGCCTAGCGTTTACGACAAACTCCACTTCACATAGCGCATTCCGAAGACTTTCATCATTGAAACTAGAAGACGGAATAATTTGATAAAGTACATTTTTTACTGATCTTACTAGTCTCTCCCAAACTCCCCCCATATGTGGTGCGCTGGGAGGGTTGAATCTCCACTTTATCTGATCAAAGGACGAAGTGAGATGCTGGAAATCGATTTGTTTAACTTTTTCGCAAATAATCTTCTCTGCCGCCCTAAAATTTGTGCCGTTGTCGGAGAATATCTCTCTAGGATAGCCCCGTCGGGATATGAAGTTTCGTATCGCTATGATACATGAGCTTGTATCCAAACTGTATGCCACTTCAATGTGTATTGCACGAAGAGTCAAACACGTGAAGATGACTCCCCATCTCTTTTCGCGTCTTCTTCCTACCACAACCGACAGCGGTCCGAAATAGTCAATGCCAACGTTTGTGAATGGCCTCTCGAAGGCGGCAAGTTTTGCAGCCGGTAAAGCGGCCATTTGTGGAATTTGCGGCATACTGCTATTATTTTTGCATCGCTGACATTGTTGACGAATTTTCTTGTAAAGAGCCCTCAGGCGAGGTATGAGATATTGTCCACGTATATGGTTGATAACTGATTCGTGCATTTGGTGGTGAAACTGTTCATGAGCCGAACGTACAATGAGGAACGGCACATGGTGAGAAGTAGGCATAACTATGGCATCCTCGCGATTATTTAGGTGTTCAGCGCGACTTCTGCTTCTTATTATGCCTTTTACGTCTAGGTAGATGTCGAACGAAAATAATTTGCTCGATTTTTTTATAGTCTTCCCTTATTGAAGAAGGGTTATCTCCTCACTAAAAGCCGTTTGAGCGTACTTGATGAGGAATTGTTGAGCTTGCTGAACAATTTCGAAGCGAATCGTACGGTCGGGTATGCTTGCTGAGATTCTTGCGCGTAAGGTATTGACGTAGAGTATGAAGGTCGCAACTGCCCTGTATAAACGGCTCCAACTAGAAAAGTACTCAACGTTTAGCGCTACATTTCGCATTGGTACTCTTTCGGTGTGTAAAACGTAGTGTCTGAGCTCTTTTGAGTCTTCAACATTAGGATTGATCTCGGTACAATGCGGCCAGGACTTCCGATCTAGCGCCAAAAACTCTGGTCCTGTAAACCACTGCTTATAGTTCGCACAGCTCGACATTTTCGTCGCTAAATCGGCAGGATTTAGTTTCGTAGGTACCCACTTCCATTGGTTTACAATCGATGCCTCGAGTATCTCACCTACTCGATACATTACGTATTGATTTAAGTTTCTTGGATCCATCCGAATCCACCGCAAGACAGTCTTTGAATCCGTCCACCAATACATTGACGTAATACCTATTCGTTTTACATTAGCCACCGTAGAGGCCAATCGTATGCCAACCACTGCGGCTTGTAATTCCAGCCTCGGAATTGACAATGGTTTGAGCGGCGCGACTTTTGATTTGGCTGCAACCAGGGTAGTTGAGACAAACTCGCCTCTTTTTGTTCGCAGATAACAAACAGCCGCGTATGCATTTTCTCCGGCGTCTACGAACGTATGGAGTTCAACTTCTTCGGCTTCTTTCAGGAACAACGAGTAACAACGTGGTATTTCTACTGCAGTTATCAGCTTCACCATATTCTTCCAGTGACACCACTTTTCGTAGAGTTTGTCGCATAATGTATCATCCCAAGAAATACCTGCCCGCCACACATCTTGAAGGAGAACTTTCAAGCCTATGGTGTAACAACCAACAAACCCCAGTGGATCGAAGATCGACATAAGCACCTGAAGGACCTCTCTTTTAGTCGGTGCCAAGGTTTCGTTTATGACGTCACGGCGAAGTCTCGCAAACCTGCAAATATACTTAAAATTGTCACTAGCTGGATCCCAAAACATACCCAGGTCATCCGTCAGCTCGTCCAGCACGGATTTCGAATTCGAAGACCAGCCTCGAATGTTAAATCCACCCGCACGATGTATTTCCTTGACTTGCTTTGCCAATTCTAGCGCGGAGTGCTCGTCATCTTCGCTGTCAATGAAATCGTCAACGTAATGATTTCTCTTTATGGCTTCCGCGGCTCGTGGAAAGTCATGTTTATAATTGTCTGCGTTTTTGTCACGTATGAAATGGGCTATACAGGGGGCACAGTTGAGACCGAACGTCAGCGCTCGCATAACGTAGACGCTTGGGTGTTGTGAGCGATCATTCTCATCATACCACAAGAATCGTTGAGCGTGCATATCTGTTTCACGGATGTTTATGCGGTGAAACATTTCCGCAATGTCGCCGCAAATAGCGACTCTGCCGACCCTAAACGCCAGCAAAATGTCTACGAGTGGATTCAGCAGGTCGGGACCACTTAAAAGAAAATTGTTCAACGACACTCCATTGGCTTTCGCAGCGGCATCCCAAACCATACGAATTTTCCCTGGTTTATTAGGGTTGTTCATGACGCATATTGGCAAGTACCAAACCTTGTCCCTAGGCACTGCAATGTCTGCTAAAGAGAGCTTTTGAGCATAACCTTTGTCAAGCAGATTGTTTATCTGTTGCTGCATGGTGGATCGCATACCAGGATCTTTAGCAAATTTCTTCTCTAGACACTTCATACGGCGGACAGCGTTGGAATAGCTACTGGGTAGAGGTTCGTTTGGATTACGCCACAAAAGTCCGACCTCGTAGCGGCCGTTTGATTGCTGGCATGTGTTGGTCTTGATGTCTACAGCTTTGGCGTCGTCCTCTGAGAGAATCTCCGTTGCTTTCGGAGCTTCTAGTACGAAGAAATCTTTCACCATTTCATGCAAGTGATCGTATTTTAGTTGACACTCACACGTGTGTACGTTGAGACGGAAGTTTTCCTTTCGGCTGCTCTCACACCCCTGTAATGTCCACCCCAAACGAGTTTTAGAAGCTATAGGCTCGGACCAAGCACCCTCCTTCACTTTAAGGGGGATCGCCAACTTCCAATTATCGGCACCAATAAGTAGTGACGGTTTTATGTTGTCATATGACTTAATGGGTAGTCCATTTAGGTGCGGGTATTTCGTCTGCATGTCGGCTATGTCAATCGACTGTACTGGAAGATCAAGGTTATGAACAGTGCGAGCGTTCTTCAGCGTGTACTTTTGATTACTAGTCATGCTGGAAATCTCTATAGACGCCCGTTCAGAATTTTCTTCGACGCGAGTGGTGTTTCCCGTCCACCGCAAGCACAGAGGTCCGTGTTCACCTTTTATACCGAGCTGATCAAAGATATTCTTTTCTATAAGGGTCACAGACGAACCTTCATCTAAAAATGCGTAGATATCCATTACCTTATTTTTCGAATACAGACGAATAGGGACTATTCTAAAAAGTGGGCGCGATTCCTCGTAACCGCTGTTGTGAGTATTTACTTGCTCGACTGTAGACTCGACGAATTTGTGTAGTAGAGGGTGGTGTTTTATTACACAACCCTCTATTCCACACACTTTGCTTACGAAACATTTGCGTCTATGCGGGCTAAGGCATTGACGGCAGAGATTTTTGGCTTTCACCGCATCCCATCTGCGTGGTAGGGACATTTTTTTAAAAACCTCACATTGCGACACCTTATGATCCTGATCATTGCATATGCAGCATAGCTTACTAGTTGGGGTGTGTGCCTTTGCGTGCAAACGTTCTGCACTGCCTTCGACAGTGTGGGTGTTCACTGAAGCATTACTTTTACTTGGCGCTAGGTTTACAACGGTGCTAGCTGCTTCGGCCAGACAGAATATCCAGTCGCTGAATTGTCTTACCACTGGAATTGCCTCGTCTTTCGGATGCAGAGCCCAGCTCAATTTGTGATTGTTCGGCAGTTTATTAACCAATTCTTGCACCAGCAATGGATTATGAAGGTGCGTGTTCATTCGGCAACCTTCCATAGTATTACAAATACTCCTCACACAAAGCGCGAAATCAACAAGACCCTCTAACTTATCTTTCAGAGGAGGCATTGCGCGAGCTCGATTCACCACACGCTCGAGTATGTACTCTGGCCTACCAAAACACATTCTCAGAGTATGAATAATCTCAGAGACCATCGATGGCAAAAAGAGTTTGCTCTTTACCATGTCCCGAGCTTTACCTTTGAGACTTGCTTGAAGCCGTATAAGGTTTTCTGCGTCGGTATACCCGGCCACCGCTGTACTATTTTCGAAGTTGCTTATAAACAGTGGCCATTCTTCAGGGTCCCCACTAAAAACCGGAAGCTGCTTCGGAATCGCTTGCCTCGCGATCAGTTGTGATTGTGAAGGTCCTGCATTCTGCAAAAATGGTGGAGGAGTAATCGGTGGGAGTTCATTATACTGTGATAATATCTTGTATTTGTTTTCCAGATATTGTTGTTGGATCTCCATCTCCTCTTTTAGTCGTTCCAATTGTAGATTCCGATGCATCTCGGACTTGTCAACGTTGGCGTAAGATACACCCATTGGTTGTCGCGAATTCGTGTTGATATACGGAATATAAGTTGATGAGCGAGCTGCGTTGCCAGGCTCTAAAAAATGCGATGTAATCGCTGGCGCAATCGTCTCGGGACACCTAATACCCGTAGCTTGTGTTGCCGTTGTTAGTGTAAGGGGTCCCTGCGAGGTTGTGTTGGGAGCTGATCCCGTAAACTCAGAACAAGATGGTGTCAATGTTAAAGTGCTTACAGGATTTTGCGAAAGGAAATGCTGCGATGTGGTTACAGGTGTTGCAGAACGGAATTGTTGCGATGTGGTAAAACTCGTGGTTACAGGTATTGCAGAACTTTGAGCGAGAGGTGTTGGAATCACTGTGGTGACCGTCGTGGTCAGCATTGACGCCCTGGCCTGTGAATCCAAGGTGGGCGCTTTTATAGCTGACGGACATCTTGAAGTAAATTGCGTGCGCTCCGTACGTTTATAAGTATTTGGCGACGATGAAGCTGTCGGTTTAGCGGCTGCGGCTGATGTATCGCGACGGCATATTTCGCAGTTCCAACTAACATCAGCCACATTGCTGTCGACTCCAACGCAGTCGAAGTGGTACCAGGAGTTACAAGAATCACATTGTACCATTCGCTCGCTATCCGCTTCATCACATTTATGGCAATTTTGCTCCATGTTGCCGCTCGCCTGCGTTCAAATGTTATTTACCCGAATTTTAACTCCAATAACGATTTAAAAAGTGTAAAAGAATTGTTGCGAAACTTTAGCGACAGTTCTCGAGGAAATAAAAATTGAATATGCGAATTTCTATTAGCGGACGCTTTTAAACTTTTTCTTTATTCGTTCCTCTTAAAAACTTAGCTGCTTACAAAGTTGTTCTTCTATTTATACTGTATACGTATGGCGTGATTTTACCGCTAGACATGTACGTACATAAACATTTTAGATATATAGTACACATATGTACCTAAGCACATATGTAGGTAAGGATACGTTCATGTCTATGTAAACGCTAAGTACATAAATGAATCGAACAGAAATAAGCAAATACATATGAATTTAAAGAACATAAAACCTTTACTGCTCGGCTGAGCTTAATGTCGGTGACAGCCTGCAATTGTTGTTGCAGCAAACTCGGAGAGAGCGAGTTTGGCGACTCTCACAGCAAACTAATTTTGTTTGGTCAAACTGCGGCAAATTCGGTGTTGTCATATACAAAAATCTTAGATAATTGTTGTTATACACAAAAATTGCCGTGATACCGAAAGCTAGAGAACTGAATATATGCTTCAAAGATTAGGGCACAGTTAATTGCCTATACGATATCATAATTGTGCGCGTTATGTACATCTGAAATTTTCATTTCGTGTTGGCAATAGCCATGAAAACCATAATGAACGTGCAACCCTGTGCCAAACTCGACATAACCACCGCCGAGCAAACTAAGCAGCCGCCATTTAATTTGGCAAACAAAAGTTTGTCTGCATAACACCGACCTTAGTGTAATTTTTTACATATATACGGCCAACACCTCCTTGTTAAATACGCCTTGAGTAAAAACTTGCAAATTTAATAGAGAGCGAATACGTTCCATTTTTGGATCGTGAATGTCTTCTTCTTTGTGCACGAAACAGCCCGGACTTTTTTTTCGGGCACAAATGTGCAAAAGGGCAATTTGAAATAACAGCTGTTGTTGTTTAAATCCGAAACAAATTTTATAAAACACAAAAGTGGAAAATACCACAGAATTTTCAGAAAATGTAGTTATTTTGTAATTTTATTACAGGCTAACCTAATATTCACGCATGCCGCCAATTAACTGTCAAAAATTTCTCTTGCATGTACAACTTGTATGGGACTAACCGAAATTGAACGGCGTGCGTATGAAGCTAACTCAATTTCCAATTTTTGTTCTGCGTGACACAATAAAACAAATTCTACGGCGCGCGTACCAAAACGCAAGCCACGAATATTAAGTTAGCCTGTTAGTCATAGATATAAGTTACATACACGTAAAATCATGGCTTAGAGCCAATTTCTCCGGGCACGAAATGTGCTTTTTTGCGTTCTTCACGCTCTGGGCACTTTTGGCACGTGTTGACACATTTTTGACACTTGTAAGAGAGTAACTAATTTTTACGCTCTAATTACCGAAGGAGCACGGAAAGCGTGTGGAATAAAGCTAATACGTGCATACATTTCCATTGGAACAATTTTGACAACTAATACTTACTTAGTTAGGGTTTACTCCAGATAATGTTGTCAAGACAATTATGGCAAAATGATGTGTTTGTTGTAATATGAATTCGCCATGTTTACAACAAACACATCATTTTGACATAATTGTCTTGACAGCATTGTCCAATGTAAACACGCCGTTATATTTTCATTGTCTTTGCAGCATTGTCCAATGAAAACGCGCCGTAACTGTTTTTTCATCTCAGCAACATGCTGTCTTATATTCTCATTTTCTTCCATATGTGTACAAAAATGTGTAAGGTCGGTGTTATGCAGACAAACTTTTGTTTGCCAAATTAAATGGCGGCTGCTTAGTTTGCTCGGAGGTGGTTATGTCGAGTTTGGCACAGGGTTGCACGTTCATTAAGGCCTGCTCAAACAGGCGCGGTGCGGTACAGCGCGGTATAATCCCGTACGATACGCGGTAACGATATACGCAAAGGCACTCAAACAGGCGCGGTGCGGTATAGCACGAAACATTGTTGCCATGTGACGGCACTCTACGCATTCCTCCTTCTAAATTTATACATATATTATAAATCTGATTTTCGCGATGGACAGCTCAAGCTCTGAGGACGAATTATTGCTATTGCGAAAGAACTTTAAATTTCAGTAAATTTACCGTTCATATTTCTGAGCAACTTTGCCAGATTTGAAAAACATTTTTCAAACAAAAGAAAAGTTCAACCTTATTTTATTTAGTTTGTGAGAAATAAAACCAAAGAATATCACATTTATGCCAACAAATGTATTACGAGCACTTTTAAACTCACGTTTTTTTTAATTAAAAAGGTAGAATTATTAATCTGTAGCACTTTTGTAGATAAAATATGTGGTAGAACTCTAGCTCTAAATTGCAACTCTGCTTACGATATATCTTCTTACACCGCGCGGTGAACGCTGCATGCTGCGGTAGAGTTCTGTACCGCGGTGTACCGCACTTCCGATACCGCGTCTGTTTGAGTGCTCCCATATACCGCCATGGTATTTGATACCGCATATCGTACGGGATTATACCGCACCGTGCCGCACCGCGCGTGTTTGAGCAGGCCTTTCCCTGCAAAAATCGCGACTACTCCATGCATGCGTGTAAAGAGTATTCCCTAAGGACTAAGGAGTACTCCAAAATTAACCACAATTCAATTAAAAAATATGGTCCAATTAACATTGCGATGTCCTAGGGCAGGACCATATACTCCATCCCTGCATTACATCAGAGTAGCACAAAACTACTCCAACATATTTAGAATGGCATTGTTGTTATGTTTTTTCGTTTGTACACGCTTTTGTTCTTCACTTCTCAAATGCTTTTTCAAAATTAATAAAAACCAAGACAAAAATTAAAAATTACATGTTGCCTCTGACGGCATTCCAACCCGAACATGCTGGGAGCTAAGAACTAACAGCGAGCATCTCTACACGTTCAGCTACAGCCAGACATGCAAATGTGCTTTCAAATGCTCCACTTCAATCACGTTTCGTTAAAACACGAGCAGTGATCGGATAACAAACAATAAGCTGGCGCAGAGACACGAGTTGGTCCGCTACAGCATGACAGAGGAACACTTTTGTAAGTACTCCAATTTACCACAAATAGACTACATGCTCCAACGATTTTTGCTGGGTTATGGTTTTCATGGCTGTTGCCAGCACGAAATGGGAATTTCAGATGTACATAACGCGCACAATTAAAATATTTTTTACGATATCGTATAGGCAATTAACTGTGCCCTAATCTTTGAAGCTCCTACAGCATAAATTCAGTTCTCTGACTTTCGGTATCACGGCAATTTTTGTGTATAGCAAAAATTATCTAAAAGTTTTGTATATGACAACACCGAATTTGCTGCAGTTTGACCAAACAAAATTAGTTTGCTGTGAGAGTCGCCAAACTCGCTCTATCCGACTTTGCTGCAAAAACAATTGCACGCAGTTCGCCAAACAAAATTTCTGCATAAAGGCCTGTATGAAGCTCTCAAGAAAATCAAAAAATTCCATATAAAATGACGTACAAGAAATGGCTAAGAAATTTTCTTGAGTCAAATTTCCTTGAGTCCCCTTTCAGACACGTCAAGCCTTGCTTTCAAGTCTGCTCGTTCGTAGGCGACCTCCGTACCGTCAATTCGTTTCTAGTTTTCTTGTCTCTTTTGGTCTCTTCGTTGCTTCCCATTTAAAGAACTAAGGACTTGAATTCAATAAAAGTTGACGCGTGTGGAAGCAAATAGAAAACACAAAAGAGAATGCGAAAAAATTGCTTTCAAGACTTGACGTGTCTGAAAGGGGACTAAGGCAGTACGGTTACTACGCTTTCTACTACGGTTTTCTAAAGTTTTTTTGTGAAAAAAGANGTGTTTGAGCAGGCCTTTCCCTGCAAAAATCGCGACTACTCCATGCATGCGTGTAAAGAGTATTCCCTAAGGACCAATTAGTACTCCAAAATTAACCACAATTCATATAAAAAATATGGTCCAATTAACATTGCGATGTCCTAGGGCAGGACCATATACTCCATCCCTGCATTACATCAGAGTAGCACAAAACTACTCCAACATATTAACAATGNTTGCTGCAGTTTGACCAAACAAAATTAGTTTGCTGTGAGAGTCGCCAAACTCGCTCTATCCGACTTTGCTGCAAAAACAATTGCACGCAGTTCGCCAAACAAAATTTCTGCATAAAGGCCTGTATGAAGCTCTCAAGAAAATCAAAAAATTCCATATAAAATGACGTACAAGAAATGGCTAAGAAATTTTCTTGAGTCAAATTTCCTTGAGTCCCCTTTCAGACACGTCAAGCCTTGCTTTCAAGTCTGCTCGTTCGTAGGCGACCTCCGTACCGTCAATTCGTTTCTAGTTTTCTTGTCTCTTTTGGTCTCTTCGTTGCTTCCCATTTAAAGAACTAAGGACTTGAATTCAATAAAAGTTGACGCGTGTGGAAGCAAATAGAAAACACAAAAGAGAATGCGAAAAAATTGCTTTCAAGACTTGACGTGTCTGAAAGGGGACTAAGGCAGTACGGTTACTACGCTTTCTACTACGGTTTTCTAAAGTTTTTTTGTGAAAAAAGAGCACAAGGCAACCCAGGTTTGCAACAGAAATATATGCCCATTCCATTATTTCTTGAGGAAAGAGTGAGGCAACAGGCTGTGAGGTATCAAAAATGTCAAAATTCCTTGGACACACACGCGAAATAAAGGCAATCATGATTCAATAATACAAGGTTCGATAAACTGACAGTTGTCTCTCTCGCACCGCTCCCTTAGCAGTGGCACCGTGTTGCTTCTTTGCAAATTTACATGGAAACAGTGTAGCTTTGGTGTGAAATAAAATTATAAGCTTTTGTGCAATATGTTATTTGTACATGCATATGAAGCATATTTAACTGATGAAAACCTAAGCATTGGATGTTTACATCAATCTCATAGTGATCTTATTTTA